GGTGGTTCATTTTGCTGTGGCGACCCCGGATTGATAAAGGGACTAAGCAGAAAAGAAAGTGAATGAATGGATGAATGTCTGATCTATCTTATCTGAACCTCACAGCTGTGTTGATGTTGTTTATGAAATCTGTTCCACTAGGTTGGAATTTTGTAACCCTGCTGCACAATCCAGTGATGGAACTTTTGGGAATAGGTCTGTTAAAAATGTTAACAGAAGTTAACATTTACACTGACAGCAGTTAAGCTTTTGCAGTGGTGCACGATTATGGCACCTTGTGAAAACAGAAAACTTAAGCTGTTGTATTGATGTACATGAGAATCAGCACACAAAGTAATTTAAGTCCATTTGAAATGTTATTTGTCAGGCACAGTTTTTCGAGAGTGGGACCAGCCCTGTGCAAAGATGATATGCTGAACTATTATAAAAACGTGTCTCTCTTTCTTTCTGAAATATCTCAGCAGAACAAGGATGCTCTTCCAGCCCCAGCAGAGGGAGTTTGTGGTGATTAAGCACTTGCAGAGGAAGCACTGGAGGTCTAATCAGCAGGACCTGGAATAGGCTGTTCCACTGCTAACACACAGTGTGAAGGTCGCAGAGAGCTAAGCGGGTACACGCAATTCACTGCAGTAACGTGCCATCACAGCCAGAGGATACCAGAGAGATTGACAAATGATTTACCCACTGCCCTTGTGCCAGGTGCATTATGGTGTGTAAGCATGTTTTGAGGTAGGCCAACATACAGTGCATCCGGTAAGTATTCATAGCGCTTCACTTTTTCCACATTTGTTTATGTTACAGCCTTTCCCAGAATGGATTAAATTCATTTAATTCCTTACAATTCTACACACAATACCCCATAATGACAATATGAAAAAGAGTTTGTTTTTTTTAATTGTTGCAAATTTATTAAAAATAAAATCCTGAAGAATCACATGTACATCCGTATTCACAGCCTTTGCTCAATACTTTGTTGATGCATGTTTGGCAGCAATTACAGCCTTAAGTCTTTTTGAATATGATGCCACAAGCTTGGCACACCTGTCTCTGGGAATTTTTGCCCATTGCTCTTTGCAGTACCTCTCAAGCTTTATCAGGTTGGATTAGAAGCGACGGTGTACAGCCATTTTCAGATCTCTCCAGAGATGTTCAATAGGATTTAGGTCTGGGCTCTAGCTGGCCACTCTACCATACAGGTCTGATTGGTGGATTGCTGCACAGATGGTTGTCTTTCTGTAAGGTTCTTCTCTTTCCACAGAGGAACGCTGGAGCTCAGACAAAGTGATCATTGGGTTATTGATCACTTCCCTGACCAAGACCCTTCTCTCCCCGATCACTCAGCTTAGATGGCCGGCCAGCTCTGGGAAAGAGTCCTAGTGGTTCCAAACATCTTCCACTTACGGATAATGGAGGCCTCTGTGCTCAGTGGAACTTTCAGAGCAGCAGAAATTTTTCTGTAAAGTTCCCCAGCCTTGTGCTTTGAGACAATCCTGTCTCGGAGGTCTACAGACAATGCCGTTGTTTTCATGCTTGGTTTGTGCTTTGACATGCACTGTCAACCCTGGGACCTTTTGTTGTAGGGGTGTGAACCTACACTTGTATCACGGCTCAGTTCGGTTATGATTATCATGCCATTGGTTTGGTTCAATTTTATATCTCGGTGCATCACGGTACATTGACAATGCTTTCCATACATAATTAGATTTTTTCTTCACAACACAATAATTTTTTGTTCAAATCTTTAAATATATTTATAATTATATATTATTTGTAATACATTTTCGTCCTTTAATACAAGCAGTAAGATATATGAACTGTAACTTTAATTTTACCTGCTCAAAATAAACACTGTATCAGACAAAACTTCAATACATGCACAGAAGACAGCACAAGCATTTATAGCAAATAAACTAATGTAAAAATTATCCCTCTTCCTTTTTGAGGGATGTCCTACACCCCTATGATTCGTCATTGTCTTGACCCGCTCAACAGAAAGGGCTGCGTTTGGCTGTAGAAATGAAAGCGATGTTCACCGTTGAGTCACGCGGGAAGAATAGCCGTGGTTAGAGTCTATATGTGCATAATACACGGTTATCATAGGCAATCTGTAACAGACACAGTGGAGAAAACTCGCATTAGACGTATGCTCATGTCTTGATCCACAAGTATTGCTTTAACAACCAAGAGGAGAGGAAAAGTTACCTCACAAACAGGCCAGCGGTTCAAATGTTTAAAGTGTGTGAGAGAGAGAAGCAGAGATGGAGTTTTTACAGCATTTTTCAGTAGTAAAAAAACGTGCCTTCTGAGTGCTGTGAGAGTGCTGTGCCTTCTTCAGCGTCAACGAAAGACTTTCCAGCAAACTCACAAGCAGTTGAATTGTGCATAATCATCTACCTTTTAAGTATTAGGAGCGTTTTATTTAGTCGCCCTCGCCTCCGTTGCCATAGTATTCTACTGCAACATCACGCATAGCAGATAAATGACGTCAGTACGTTATAACCGGTTATGATCTATTACTGAACCAATATCGAATTGTCCCTGTCTGCATCGCCGTGCACCGAAGAAACTATTAATTTTGACACCCCTGTTTTATAGACAGTTTTATGCCTTTTCAAATCATGTCCAATCAACTGAGTTTACCCCAGGTGAACTCCAATTAACCTGCTGAAACATCTCAAGAATGATCAGTGGAAACAGAATGTACCTGAGCTCAATTTCGAGCTTATCAGCAAAGGCTGTAAATACTGGTACATGTGATTTTGCAGGTTTTTTATTTTTTATAAATTTGCAACAATTTCAAAAACTCTTTTTTTACATTGTCATTGTGGGGTATTGTGTGTAGAATTTTGAGGAAATAAATGAATTTAATCCTTTTTGGAATAACAAAAGAAAATGTGGAAAAAGTGAAGCGCTATGAACACTTTCTGGATGCACTGTACACTGTAAAAAAATGTAAGCCAGTTCAACAAAAAAAAACATAATAATTTATTTCTTTTCACTGGAATGCCTGAAGTTGAGTGAACAAAAAAAAACCATTCCTTATTTCCTTTTGTTTCTTGTTTACTCAACTTTTAAAAACATTATTTGCACTGACATATAATGTCTGAAGTTGAGTGAACAAAAAAACTCTTGTGGAAATTGGTACTAAGAAAAAATACATTATCAGAACAAACAAACATAGTTCAATTAAAAAAATTAAAAAAACAGAGACAAATGTTAACAAAACATTTATTTAAACAGAATTAGAAACAGGACAGCAGGCAAAACAACAATAACTGTAAACAAGACAAGGATCGAAACATGGCCGGACAAACAGGGAAAACCACCTTGAAATGCTTCACAGGGAAAAACAAGACTCAGCAAAGAGTCTGTGAATGAGGTGTCTTCATAGTCCTAGGAATCAGTCCATCATGAGCTTCCAGCTGTGTGTGTAATTCATTTGAATTATAGTTTGAACAATTGATTTCTCATTTAATTATTACAGGATTTTACTAAGTTGTTCATGAAAATTAAATAGCAAATACATTTGATTTCTCATTTAAAAATGCATTTTGATTTATTATTTGAGCATTTGATTTATCATTTTGGTAGTTGTTTTGAAAGTTCGGTTTATTATTTGATCTTTTTAGGCATTTGAATTTTCATTTGAATTTTGTTAGGAAAAAAACTTTGATATGTAAACATGAACATAACAGTTAAATACAAGTAAACCGTCCACATGTGCTGTGCCTTTCATTTTATAGAGTGAACTAGGTAAATTCTTTCAAATTTGTTCTGAAGCTGTATTTGAGTCCGAGCTGTATTTGGGGTAGAGGACGCTAATGCAGCAGCGTATGATCTTCGTGATCTGACAGTAGCAAAGCAGGAAGTCGGAACCGACTTTTTAAGTAAAGCCAACTAATGGTTTTATAAGCAACGGGTTTACTCTTCTTTTTTTTTAAGTGAAGTCAATTAATTGCTTTAAAAGCAATAGGTTTACTCACTTTTCTAAAGTAGAGTTCAATAATTGCTTAAAATGCAAATGTTCTACTCACTTTTTTCAATAAAGTCAACTAATCGCTTTAAAAGTAACTCATCTACTCATTTTTTTAAAGTAGTCAAATTACCACTTTAAAAGTAACTCATCTACTCACATTTCTAAAGTAAAGTCAACTAATCGCTTTAAAAGTAACTCATCTACTCACATTTCTAAAGTAAAGTCAACTAATCACTTTAAAAGTAACTCATCTACTCACATTTCTAAAGTAAAGTCAACTAATCACTTTAAAAGTAACTCATCTACTCACTTTTCTAAAGTAAAGTCAACTAATCACTTTAAAAGTAACTCATCTACTCACATTTATAAAGTAAAGTCAACTAATCACTTTAAAAGTAACTCATCTACTCACATTTATAAAGTAAAGTCAACTAATCGCTTTAAAAGTAACTCATCTACTCACATTTCTAAAGTAAAGTCAACTAATCACTTTAAAAGTAACTCATCTACTCACTTTTCTAAAGTAAAGTCAACTAATCACTTTTTAAAGTAACTCATCTACTCACATTTATAAAGTAAAGTCAACTAATCGCTTTAAAAGTAAATCATCTACTCACATTTATAAAGTAAAGTCAACTAATCACTTTAAAAGTAACTCATCTACTCACATTTCTAAAGTAAAGTCAACTAATCACTTTAAAAGTAACTCATCTACTCACTTTTCTAAAGTAAAGTCAACTAATCACTTTAAAAGTAACTCATCTACTCACTTTTCTAAAGTAAAGTCAACTAATCACTTTAAAAGTAACTCATCTACTCACTTTTCTAAAGTAAAGTCAACTAATCACTTTAAAAGTAACTCATCTACTCACTTTTCTAAAGTAAAGTCAACTAATCGCAAATGTTAATTGCTAGTTTCAGCTTGACGCAAGTGTCGTTTTGCTGTTTTGCACCACGTTGTTTAAATAGCAAATGCATTTGCGCTCATTTGTGCGCCCGTAGGCGTTCTAGTCTAAACAAGGAGGCGTGTTGAGGTGTAATGCTGGCGCGTTGCTATTTTAAGACAACTACAATAGACCATGCCATAGATCGACTGAAAGTTGGTCTAAAGTCCAGCGCACTGATAGAGCGCAGGTTGCATCTGATTATTTAAAGAGCGCGTTAGTGAGAGGCAGTTCCAATGCGCATAGACGTGGCTTATTTCACACACATGATACGCAGCACAAGGTATGTTTAAATATGAAAAAAGGATGAATATATAATAATAAAAGATTATTAGCCTATTGTGTATATAAATATAAACTGCCTACATGACATAATGAATAGCGATTGCATGCATCAAATTAGCTCAACTATCTGCAGTAATGATGCATGAAATTGGCTAATGACTTGACCAATCAGACCAGTACATGCATGTATTTAAACTGACTTTTTTGTTTGAGTTTGTGTATCACCAACCATTCCAAGTTTGGATCCAACGTGAGCTACAGTACAGCCGACTACTGAACAGGTAATTTGAGCAAAATATCTCTTATTGATCTCCTCAGTATACCTATTTGATCAATAACGTATCTTATCAGTAGCCTAATGTAGTTATGCATTTATTTTGTTTAGCCAATGGAGTACCTTATGGGCCAAAGAAATGGGAGACGGAGGAGGCCGAGGGTCCACCGACCAAGGTCCACATATTTGTTGCTGTCCGAGGTGGAGTGCCGCCAGAGGCTACGGTTATCTCGCCAGGCAGTAACCGAACTTTGTCATCTTCTGGCAGATGACTTAGAAACGAATGCATCTTGCCCATATGCACTCCCCGTTGCCGTAAAGTAACTGCTGCACTACATTTTTTTACGAGCAGGTCTTTTCAACATCCCCTCAGTTCAATTTGCGGCATATCCCGACCTGCCGTAAGTTCGGCTTTACAAGCCTGGTCCGACATGCGCACAAATTCATTAAATTCCCTGTGACACCTGCAAGCCAAAATACGCTTAAACGGGAGTTCTGGGCTAAATTCGGGTTTCCTGGTGTTGTGGATGTAATAGATTGTACTCACGTGCAACTACGTGCCCCGTCTTAGAACACTCTGATTTATGTTAATCGCAAAGGAACCCATTCCATCAACATCCAGGTAATTTGCGATGCAACGTGTGCGGTCACGCATGTATTTGCAAACTATCCTGGATCAAGCCATGACTCCTTTATTCTAGCCAACTCTGTCATTCCTGCAGTCTTCCAGGGTGACCCGCCCCTGGACGGGTGGCTGTTAGGGGACAATGGCTATCCATTAAAGACATGGCTGATTACCCCGTATATCATGCCTACAACAGTGAGTCAGTTGTTTTTTAATCGAAAACACACAAAAGCACGAGCTGTCATTGAACGTACATTTGGGATGCTGAAAATGCGCTTCAGGTGTTTAGACAAGTCAGGGGGAACACTGCAGTACAGTCCTCAAAAGGTCGGAGCATTCTTTGTGGCATGTTGTGTTTTGCATAACATTGCCATACACCATGGATGTCTCTTGGACATAAATGAGGATAGATTACAGGATTTTAGAAGGTGTGAAGCTGAACTGCATGTGCCGATGCCAAATAATCCGAATTCTCAAGCAGCAGCACGGGCGAGGAGAGACCAGCTGGCAGAAGAGCTGCTTCACCTGTAGACTTGCAAGTAAACAGATTTTTTTTTTACTTTAAACTGTGTAAATATTGCATTTGACTTAACCTCTGGATATGATGGCAACCATTTTTTAAAAATATCTTAATTAAAACACACACAGCGCTGTCCTTGGTGCTGAAACGCCTTTGCTCTCGAATGTACAAATATTAAGAGTTTTTTTCCTGCCGTACAAGAACCTAAAGAATAAAAAAAAAACTCAGTTAATGATTTTATTTATTTTTATTTAGATTGCAGTGATGCCACGATTGTGTGTGTGTGTGTGTGTTTGTTTATGTGTGTTTCTTTACATTGTAAACTTAAATGTTTGGCCTTCTTCCTCCTCATGTTCGCAGTCGCGAAGCTCCACGGCGTGACGGGCAACGAGAGGGTCCAGGAACAGCAGAACCCTGTGTGGCCGATCTGGTGGAGAGAAAAAGTCTAAATAACTAATCTGCCATGCGCACAACTCGCTCTTAAAGGTAATGGATAATGAGACTCTGATTGGTTTATTGGAAGTTACGCCCCAAACACACCTATAACTTATTAAGAGAATAAGCGCAACCCTTTTAGATAATGCGCCACGGCGCAGAGCGTGTTTTTCCGTCCTTAAAATAGCAAAAGTGGATTCAGACACGCCCTAAATGCGTTTGCGCCTTGCGCTTTGGGCTTTGCGCTTAGATCGTTAAAATAGGGCCCATCTACTTACATTTCTAAGGTAAAGTCAACTAATCGCTTTAAAAGTAACTCATCTACTCACGTTTCTAAAGTAAAGTCAACTAATCGCTTTAAAAGTAACTCTACTCACTTTTCTAAAGTAAAGTCAACTAATCACTTTAAAAGTAACTCATCTACTCACTTTTCTAAAATAAAATCAACTAATCGCTTTAAAAGTAACTCATCTACTCACGTTTCTAAAGTAAAGTCAACTAATCGCTTTAAAAGTAACTCATCTACTCACTTTTCTAAAATAAAATCAACTAATCGCTTTAAAAGTAACTCATCTACTCACGTTTCTAAAGTAAAGTCAACTAATCGCTTTAAAAGTAACTCATCTACTCACTTTTCTAAAATAAAATCAACTAATCGCTTTAAAAGTAACTCATCTACTCACGTTTCTAAAGTAAAGTCAACTAATCGCTTTAAAAGTAACTACTCACTTTTCTAAAGTAAAGTCAACTAATCACTTTAAAAGTAACTCATCTACTCACGTTTATCAAGTAAAGTCAACTAATCACTTTAAAAGTAACTCATCTACTCACTTTTCTAAAGTAAAGTCAACTAATCACTTTAAAAGTAACTCATCTACTCACTTTTCTAAAGTAAAGTCAACTAATCGCTTTAAAAGTAACTCATCTACTCACGTTTATCAAGTAAAGTCAACTAATCACTTTAAACGTAACACGTCTACTCACGTTTCTAAAGTAAAGTCAACTAATTGCTTTAAAAGCGAATGGTTTAGGCAAGGCAAGGCCTTTTAGCACACACTGTGTATACTGTATGTTGGGCTCAGCTGCTCCCTCTCACTCACACTTACTGTATACAAATCACTAAATTTAGCCATCTAATGAAATATATATTATATGGATTTGCTCTGTTACAATAAAGAAAGATTTTGGCGTAGCTATAATGAGGCTTTTATATTTTTTTCTTTTTTCGGATAGAATTTGAATCTGACAAGGAAAGAGAAATTGAGAATGTCAGTGGACTGAGCTATGAGTCAGATATCATTTGTCTGGTAAGAGGTTAGTAAGTTGGGTAATCTGTAACATTTGGTTTTGTTCATAATTGTCAAATTCTTAGTACATCATGAATTCATTTATCCAACTCATGTTTTTGGTTATCTTAAATCACTAAGATGCACGTATAATACACTTTTCTATTCTGATTATTTTAGACTGGTTCTGGTAGGAGTAGCCCTGCAGTGTTTTACCACAAGAAACATGCAGTTCTATTTGCTAGAACACCAAAACGTTATAGACTACAGTTTTAAAGAGCGCCTTTTAGGACTGATGATGACACGTAGATGACCATCGCTGACAAATTTTTCACAACAACACCACAGTATGGCCAACCGTGTGCTGTGTTTGTTCCTGTATTTTTTTTGATGATTGATACAATAACCTACACTGAAACACGGGATTCGTCAGCCGTTTGCTATTAAAGGAAGGAGCAGAGACTACAGGTCATTTTAAAAAAATTAGCATATTGTGATAAAGTTCATTATTTTCTGTAATGTACTGATAAACATTAGACTTTCATATGTATTTCAGATTCATTAGGCATGACTAAAGTTGTTCAAAGCCTTTTGTTGTTTTAATATTGATGATTTCGGCATACAGCTCATGAAAACCCAAAATTTCTATCTCAAAATATTTGCATATTTCATCCGACCAATAAAAGAAAAGTGTTTTTAATACAAAAAAAGTCAACCTTCAAATAATTATGTTCAGTTATGCACTCAATACTTGATCGGGAATCCTTTTGCAGAAATAACTGCTTCAATGCGGTGTGGCATGGAGGCAATCAGCCTGTGGCACTGCTGAGGTGTTATGGAGGCCCAGGATGCTTCGATAGCGGCCTTAAGCTCATCCAGAGCGTTGGGTCTTGCGTCTCTCAACTTTCTCTTCACAATATCCCGCAGATTCTCTATGGGGTTCAGGTCAGGAGAGTTGGCAGGCCAATTGAGCACAGTAATACCATGGTCAGTAAACCATTTACCAGTGGTTTTGGCACTGTGCGCAGGTGCCAGGTCCTGCTGAAAAATGAAATCTTCATCTCCATAAAGCTTTTTAGTAGATGGAAGCATGAAGTGCTCCAAAATCTTCTGATAGCTAGCTGCATTGACCCTGCCCTTGATAAAACACAGTGGACCAACATCAGCAGCTGACATGGCACCCCAGACCATCCCTGACTGTGGGTACTTGACACTGGACTTCAAGCATTTTGGCATTTCCCTCTCTCCAGTCTTCCTCCAGACTCTGGCACCTTGATTTTTGAATGACATGCAAAATTTGCTTTCATCCGAAAAAAGTACTTTGGACCACTGTGCAACAGTCTAGTGCTGCTTCTCTGTAGCCTAGGTCAGGCGCTTCTGCCGCTGTTTCTGGTTTAAAAGTGGCTTCACCTGGGGAATGTGGTACCTGTAGCCCATTTCCTGCACACGGCTGTACACGGTGGCTCTGGATGTTTCTACTCCAGACTCAGTCCACTACTTCTGCAGGTCCCCCAAGGTCCGGAATCGGTCCTTCTCCACAATCTTCCTCAGGGTCCGGTCACCTTATCTCGTTGTGCTGCGTTTTCTGCCACACTTTTTCCTTCCCACAGACTTCCCACTGAGGTGCTTTGATACAGCACTCTGGGAACAGCCTATTCATTCAGAAGTTTCTTTCTGTGTCTTACCCTCTTGCTTGAGCAGTCAGGTCGGCAGTCTTACCCATGATTGCAGTTTTGAGTAATGAAACAGGCTGGGAGTTTTAAAAAGCCTCAGGAATGTTTTGCAGGTGTTTAGAGTTAATTAGTTGATTCAGATGATTAGGTTAATAGCTCGTTTAGAGAACCTTTTCATGATATGCTAATTTTTTGGGATAGAAATTTTGGGTTTTCATGAGCTGTATGCCAAAATCATCAATATTAAAACAATAAAAGGCTTTGAACAACTTCAGTTGTGTGTAATGAATCTAAAATATATGAAAGTCTAATGTTTATCAGTACATTACAGAAAACAATGAACTTTATCACAATATGCTATTTTTTTTAAATGGACCTGTATTATCTATGGGGTTTTGTCAGACTTTGACTGGTAGTTTGTCAGCAACTGTTACAGTTCATATAGAGCAGTTTCTTCTTCCTCCGGATCATAACATGTAAGTGTCATTAAAATTGTTGCCTCGTTTTGTAAAGTTTGCAAATGTGTTTAATTGTGTGTTGTAACTTGTAATCACCCTGCGCGGCTTGTAATCACTTATCTATTATAGATCAGTTCTTGTACTTTATCTCTCAGGTTAAATCTGTATTGGGCTGTTAACATATTGCATCCAAAACCATGTTAAAAACGTGGCTCGTGCTTCCTTCTTTAGCGATTTAAGTGCGTTTCTGAACTGGTGATCCTCTGCTGTTTGCTTTTGCAATAGCCACCATCAGCTGTTCCTCACACACAACTTTTGCTACTGTGTGGATTAATACTGAATGTGTGTTGTTGTTGTTGTTAGTTGTTATTTGCGTTAAGAGTAGAGGAATATGCTGGTGTTTACCTGCATTGCTTTATTGCATTCCTGCACTGGGCTCTCACAAACTCTGCTACTTCATAGCCATGGTGGGCACTGTTCTCTTTCTTGCGCTGAAATCAGTCGACCAATCACAACAGACTGGGTCATCGGACCAATCACCGCAGATTAGCATCGCGCAAAGGAGGGCTTGGTGAACAAATTAATCACTGAAAGAATCATATGGGAGTCGCTGGGATAATTAGGTAAAAATAAATGCATATTATAAGATGATGAAAGTGTTTATTTGACCTTGCATGAATATCAGCCTGTTGTTGGAGACCCCAAAACCAAAATATAACTTTTTAGAATGCCTAATAGGGGCTTTTTAAACTGAGTATAATCACTGATACGTTAAGGATGTGTCCTGAGACCATATTGAACACTGGTTATGAATATATCAAAGGACCTTTTCTTAGGTATTAAACGATTGAACTTTCAAGAATAAATTTACAAAAGCTTTATTTAGTAAATTACTCAGTTTTGCAAGTTATGAAATAATAAGCAGACAATGTAGAACAGTCTGATTTCTTTCTGATCTTTTTAGGATGCCTGTCTGACAGGTGGAGAAGAAGTTTCTGCTGAAGTGATGTTGTACCATGCAAGTGCATGTGGAGAAAGGTATTGTAGAAATGTTAGCTGTGAACTGTAGTGAGATTCTTTTTTTCTGTCCACAACAAAGACAAAACACGCACTAGGGCTGCACAATAAATTGTTTCAGCATCGTCATCGCATTGTACACATCCGCAATAGTCACATTAGTCACACAAAAAACATATAACTTTTAATAACTTTTAAACATTTGAAGGGTGCACATTCTCTGCTTTGTAAATAAATGTCACATTCATACAATGTAGCAAATATTTTCAAGAATAGATGAACTCAAATTAATATGAGTTTATAAAAGAAACACAAATATGCACAACTTTGTGAAAAACGTGTCTTTGACATTTACACAACTCCTTTAAAGGATTGTTTGGCTGCATTAATTAGAACAACCAGACCCGCCAATAATGCTTATATTAGTCTGTTTCTCTTTATCCAGAGGTCTGCATCATCTTAGATCCAACCAGTATCCTGAGCAGATGGCTGTCATGGTCATGGATGAGTTGAGAACCTGAAACTGATTCCTGCAATGAAACCAGTGACAGCCGAGTGTCCACATTGATCCTGTGGACTAGTCTGAACCCCTGCCGCTGACCTACTCAGACCTGCAGCTTCACTCCATGATAGACCTTCATCATTCTCAAGTGTCCGGTGCCCAGACTGCAGCTCTGCACAACATGTTTGGGAGTACTGGTCATCCCCGGCTGAGCCTGGTTTCTCTTAAGGTATTTTTACTTCACTTTGAAGTTTGTTCTTCATCACTGGCTTGCTTGGTTTGGGACATTTACATTAAACTGAACTGAACTTCAACTGTGACAGCTCAACTGAAGCAGTTTTAATTTACTAGAACTACACTACCTGACAAAAGTCTTGTCACTTTACAGAAATAATTTCCAGTATAGAATATTAAGTCTTGGTGCAGTGGAGAAAGAGTGGATATTGTGTATGACTCCCATGAGCTTGGAGGACTGCATCCATACATCTCTGCAATGACCTTCTTTGCTTTCAGGAGCTTTGATGTGGAGGCTGAAGTATGAGAAGGAGCGCTATCCTGCTGAAGAATTTGCCCTCTCCTGTGGTTTGTAATGTAATGGGCAGCACAAATGTCTTGATACCTCAGGCTGTTGATGTTGATATCCACTCTGCAGATCTCTCACACGCCCCCATACTGAATGTAACCCCAAACCATGATTTTTCCTTCACCAAACTTGACTGATTTCTATGAGATTCTTGGGTCCATGTGGGGTCCAATAGGTCTTCTGCAGTATTTGTGATGATTGGGATGCAGCTCAACAGATGATTCATGGAAAAAGCTACCCTCTGCCAGTTTTCCAAATGATCAACTCGAAGTCAAGTTATTATTTGTTGCTCTTACAACTGAAATACACGACAACACTTTTGTCAGGTAGTTTATGTAAAGCTGCTTTGACACGATCTACATTGAAAGTGCTTTAGAAGTAAAGATGAATTGAATTGAATAAGTTGTAAAGTATACAGGCTTCACTAAACCGTTTCATAAAACCTGAAACAATGTCGCCGTATATTTATGGTAACTCAACTGCTAGCTGAGGACAGTTCAACACTTTAACTGTAGGAGTGCATGAAGTTCATGTTGAGTGAAATGAAAAACACTTTATATTTCAAATGTGCTCATTTTTATTCATCAAACATCAAACATATATACACAATCCTATAGGACATGTCTTTGAACTGTGGGGGAAACCGGAGCACCCGGAGGAAACCCACGCGAACACGGGGAGAATAAGCAAACTCCACACAGAAAAGCCAACTGGCCCAGCCGGGACTGGATCCAGCGACCTTCTTGCTGTGAGGCAACAGTGCAAACCACTGAGCCACCGTGCCGCCCCTCCTTCTCTCCATCTAGACACGAACACCGGCTCCATTCAGCTCTTTTTCGTGCAACCATAAACACCAGCCTCAATTAGCTCCTCCTTGTCGTGCAACAACAAACACCAGCCCCAATTAGCTCCTCCTTTTCACGCAAGCACAAACACCAGCCCCATTCAGCTCTTTCTATTCGTCAAGCCACAAACTGCCCCATGTTTGTGGCTCGATGAATTTTTGTAGCTGAATAAAGAAGAGGAGCTTGGTGTTAATGCCTTGGTGAAGAGGAGGAGCTTGGTGTTAGGTTGCTCGATGAAGAGGAGGAGTTTGGTGTTAGGTTGCTCGATGAAGAGGAGGAGTTTGGTGTTAGTAGCTGGATGAAGAGAAGGAGCTTGGTGTAATCTTCTTCATGTCCCAGGATCTTCTTCAGCTGTGCTGTTATCTGGTTGGAAAGTTGAAAACGTGCAATATTAGTTTCATGTACGATATGTTTCGATTTGTGACAAAAAATTTAAGTAGAATATTTTGTACATTTCAGGAGTCATGTCTGGGTTTTTGTTGTTATTAAACTGACCTGAATTTCAATATAGACTGTATTTTTTCTTTTAAGGTTTTCTTCTCTTTGCTTGGCTTCAGGATCAAGACCTGGAACCAGTTATGCTGGAGGATCTCTTCAAGAGGAATCCGCTGTTGTGGATCTCTTTGCAGACAGGAACAGATCATGTCGATGCATTCTGTGAAGTAAGAAGGAACACATGTCAGGTTATTAGATTGTCACAAACCTTTCGGTTGCTGTAAATGATCACATTGTTTTCAGTTGTTGTTTCATCATCCACATGCTCTCACCTTTGGATAGTTTGTCACGCTCCCAGGTTCTGGCGACAATCTTAGTGAGCTCTCTTCGAGGGTATTTTCTGTGCAGCAGCCTGTACAACATTACACCTATAGAGTACACCGTTGCAGGCTTGGCGTGGAACTTTTTACAATCAGAAAACTCTGGAGGAGCATAAGGCTTTGTGCCTGGAAGAAAGATCAAGAACAGTGAGATATTTATCACATTAACAACAAAACTGATCTGCTGATGTCTTTGTGTTGCCTAGAAGGCTCAATATAAGTGGTCTTCATCATAATACACACCACAGAATGTTGAATAGCCTTCGCTGTTCATGATTCTACCAACACCAAAGTCTATTAGCTTGATCTGGAAGGTGTGGGGGTTGATGAGCACGTTTTCTGGCTTGATGTCGCTGTGGTAAACGTCCCTTTCACAGCATTCAATTGCAGCAGCGACCACCTGGTGCATCACCAATCGTGCTACCGATTCAGTCATTTTCTTACGATGCTTCCATGCAAACGTTTGCAGGTCCATGCAGGAATTGGGACTCTCCAGCACCAGTGTGTACTGGCTCGGCGTCTCATACCAATCCAGCAGCTGTATTATTTGAGGAACGTAAGGACCTTTGCTCATCAAATACATCAATCCAACTTCTTGTGGAACAGTCTTCTCATATGGTAGCTGCAGGAGAGATAACAGACATATGATAGTGAGACGTAAATGGACTGAAGTTGAGGTCAGTATTATAACAACTTTAACACAGTGTACTTACAATCTTCATGGTTCTTCTTGCTTTAGTCTTGCTCACATTTTTGATTGCCACCTGTTGACCAAGAGAAAGCGACAGTTAATTCACACGATCAGTCATGTAACATTCATCAAATTGAAATAGCAAGAAAGCACTTTTTATGTTTGAAACAAACCTTTCGTGAATCCGACCGACGAACTCCAGCAGAGACGGATCCAAACCCTCCCTTACCTATAATGCTTTTGACTCGATATTCGTCATTGATGTCACCTGTAAAAAAAAATCAGTGAAACAAATAATGAAGGACATTCATAAACCATCAAAAAGCCGATTGAAGATTGCTTTAGAATATTTATTATTAAGCTATTAGGCCTCACCAATATTTGATTACTCTCCTTCAATATTATTTTGGAGGATTTGTACTCAGTTACAGTTTAAACTGGCAACCCCTACTTTACCTTGAGTACATTCCTGAAGAAAGGATCAACAGTACTTTTACTCCAACATTTAGTGGTGTTTACGTATTTATAACATTTGTCTCATCTTTATTTTTCTTACATCTTTAGCTAAGGCTACACAATTCTGGTAAAATAGATGATGTTGTGATGTATTCATAACAATATTTCCCAGAGAAATGCCACTTTTAACTGGCTATTTTTAATGTATTGATGTATCACTCATAGTCATTTTTCATAGTTTTTTTTTTTTGCTGTTTCACTTTCCTCTCTTGTCTACTTCTGCCATTAACTGTTCATTTTCGGCTCTCTTTTTGTTTTTGATGTATTGTGCAGCTCTAATCTTTTACAGTTGAACATTTTAGCTTGGACTAATTGCACTTCTTGAAATAAAACCTAAAGATCTCCATTTTGCACTTCAGAACATGTCAAGTATAGCTACAGCAAATTCATAATAATATACATATTTGAACTTGGTAATATGTCCACCAGCATTTACTATCTGTACTTTAACTAATTACATTTATCAAATGCAGTGGAGTAAAACGTACAAGATTTTGTTTTGGAATGTTGTATTAAAATACGACTTCCAATAAAAAAAAAACCTTAATAAACTGACCTGGATTCGAGTCCAAATTCACTGGGATTTTCTTTTCTGCCTTCCAAAAATCGTTATCCGATGAGGAAGCGGTGCTTTCCTTGGACACACTGGGGTCAGCGGTCGGCGAAGACACACAAGGGGGCGCACTATGCACTGAAGCGCGGTCAGATTCGCCGTTCTCTGAGGTGTCAAGCGAAGACCCACAACATTGACTACTGTGGAGTGAAGCGTAGTCAGACTCGCTGTTCTCTGAGGTGCCAAGCGAAGACGCACAGGAGTGCCAACTTTGCAGTGAAGCGCGGTCAGACTCGCTGATATCCGCGGGGGTCAGAGAAGAAACACACAAATGCCAGCATTCAGTGTCCTCGGGCTGTTCGGTTTCTGTTGACGGGGTCTTCACAGGGGTCTGGATAGACACGCACCTGTTGTTGACCCCCTCGTCCTGAACCGGCCTCGGCGACACACACGCAGCTTCACCATCAGGGGATCTCTGAGTCTGTGGGCTGCTCGGCTGGGTCTGTGGGGCTCTGGTTGTGGTTTTCTTGAATTTCCGAGAAAGCCATTTCCGGAACCTCTTTAGTTTCTTCTCCGCTTTATGGGGTGCTGGGCTTGGTGAAACACCAGCTCCGGTATGAATGTGAGAGATGAACGCGACGTTACTTGGCCCGGCTTCGCCATCGAAACATCTCTGGTGCTCGAGTTCGCCGAGCGACTGGTTCTGCTGGGTTTTCCCGGATTTCCGAGAAAAGGCCCAGTTACAGAACTTTTTAAATTTCTTTCCAACTCGTCCCATTGTTCTATATTTCTTTCCAAAATCGACAATATTAATGTTGAAAACTGAATTTTCTGTAACACGATCTAGTGAAACTGAATACATCAGATATAAAACGCAGATCTTGTCGTATAATACAGTTCAAACTTGATTAAACAATCGACGTCTTACAAATGAATGTGCTTCTGCTCTTCCACGTCATTCTATAGAACTATGATGGAACTTTTCGAACGTTTGACGCAAATGCTCATTTGCATACAGCAGCAGCACCAGTCTAATGAAAATGGCTATTTACAGAAAGCTATATTAGCCCTTTAAACAGTGGGAAAGTTTGCTCTTGTCTGTACCTTGAATTATAATAGTAATGATGCCAATAAGCTTAAGTTTACAATAGTCATTTACTGAACTATAGCATTAAACAAACAACAATATAAAGATGTTAAATAAATGAGTTAAAAGAACAATGTTTTCATATTGCATTTATTAATATGCTGTAAAGCTTTACATTGCAGTCAAACCTATTTGCTCTAAAGCACATA